CATTTACACTAACCGCTAAAGTTAATTCTATTGAATTGATTGATTAATAGTGCACAAGCTCTGCCTGTTACTGTACACATTTACATTTACATCGTTTAGCAGACGCTGTTTTCACAGGTGTGTCACAACTGTTTGATTACATCCAGCACAAAGTGAAGCTAGCCTCTGTTTTAGAGCTCTGTTGCTTTATCACCGACTAAAGCAAACTGATTGATTTATAAATACAACTACTCATTATGATTTCTAGGTCAGTCTGATCAGTCGTGTGCAAAGTCGATGATCAGCGACAAAAGCAGAATTGATCCTCAACATGGTTTCTGTGTTGTTTTGCTCACAAACATGACCTACAATCTAAGTAACCTCTAGGTAACCTCTAGGTAACCTCTAAGTAACCTCTAGGTAACCTCTAAGTAACCTCTAGGTAACCTCTAGGTAACCTCTAAGTAACCTCTAGGTAACCTCTAGGTCACCCTCACAGGTTCTGTCACTGTCCTCATCTCCTACTGGGCCTGCCCCAGACCGTAATCACAGCCAATTACCCACAGTAAATATCAGCCAAATAATCATTCTACCCGACTTCCAAGGAATATAGTCTCCCGAGTGGCACAGTGGTCTAAGGCACTGCATCGCAGTGCAAGCTGTGCCACTAGAGATCCTGGTTCGAATCCAGGCTCTGTCGTAGCCGGCCGCGACCGGGAGACCCATGGGGCGGCGCGCACAATTGGCCCAGCGTCGTCCAGGGTAGGGGAGGGATTTGGCCGGCAGGGGATGTAGCTCAGTTGGTAGAGCATGGCGTTTGCAATGCCAGGGTTGTGGGTTCGATAAAATAGTGTATGCACTAACTGTAAGTCGCTCTGGATAAGAGCGTCTGCTAAATGACTAAAATGTAAATGTAAATGTAATATAAAGAAATAAGTAGGACGTGACCTGCATGACTTTTTGCCACACTCAACATAAAAATGTTTTATCCAATAACAGGTCAATTACAGTAGATGTTGCAAAGATCTAAGGGTAGGTTTGTGGCAGCCCTTTCATTTATTTTTTATTTAATTAATTTAAATCATTTTTATTTATTATTTAACATTTACTAAGGTGTTTGAATGTAATCATGTTGGGTTCATAATAAAATGTATTCACACCAAAATAGTCGTTATGGGCATGAGTGTTGTACAAAAAAAATACAATAAAAATAAAGGTATTTACACGTCATTTAACCTCCATCAAATGGTATTATGGCAGCCATATTGGATTTCAGGCAAAATCCAGGGTGGCCCCAAAGATCATCAGTGGTGGCCCCCTTACAAAAAAAAAATGTAATTTTGATGTCTGAGCCCACTAGTTTTCCTTAGAGCAATTAAAATTGTCACAACATCAAAAGACGTGTAACTATGTATTTTTGTCACATAGGACCATACAGCACTGAATGGGAGGACATTTGACTTGGAAAGTTGTGTATTAATAATCAGCTAACAAAAAGTGAAGCTTACATTCATCATAAATATTCATAGGTCTATATTTCCAAGATGCATTAAGATGTCCTAATGCTGTTTGTTTGTGTACGTAGGGCAGACAACTAACTATTTTTTATTCCACATTTTAGCAATATCGGAGCTTGTAATATTGGCTTACATGAGCCTATGTGGCCCATCCCCCTCAGCCAGGAATTATTCTACACTGTTTGAGTTTGGGGGGTGTGTCACAATATCTATCAATTTAACCACTTTTGCAGTCAAATATGTTTTCACAACCATCCATTTCATAAATGGGAGACATTAGAGATGTGAAAAACATGGTTGTGTTTTGTTCTAACTCAGGTAGGGGTATTTGTTTTATATATATATATACCTTTTTGAGGATAGGCCACTAGCCTATATGTGACTTGTCTGTCTAGAACATATGGGCAAAGATCTAGTAATAGTCTACAAAATAATTGAAAATTATTTGATGACCTCATATCAGTGCCCTGATCAGGACGTGGGGGCTATTCTGCAGAATTCTAGCTCTAATTCACGGTCACATGTCCTTGTTCCTTTCGCACTGCCCTAGTTTTGAGGACTGTTTACCAGAAATACCACGTCTCTCTCAACCACCCAGCCAGCCGCGTGATTTTCGAGGTGGGTTGGGACAACATTCAACGTCACCATGCTCGTCTTGCAGAGGCACGTTGCCTTGTGCATGGAAAGCCTTCCAGCAGCTGCAAATAATTGTACAGTGGCGCACGTGGAGCAAAACAATTGAGAGGTAAACAAATTACAATGCCACTGTTTTTAACGTCCCAGTTTACTACTCATTATACGACGCTTTTTCAGTCAATTCTATTTTTTTCAGGATTGCATTCAACAGAATTAATAACAGTTGTGTTTTCGTTGTTTTAAGATGTTATGTGTCCGCCGATATTTGAGACAGTTTGGTCCATAGAAGAGCAGTGAGGGCACTGCGCCTATCTACAAGTCTGTTTTTGAGTTTCCGAGAGCAGGCACCATGCAACGTGAGAGTGGAGAGCAGCACAGTCCCGTGCAGCAAGCGCCGCTCTCCTCGACCAATGAAAACATTCCTGGGCGTAACTGGGCGGGGTTGTTGCTAACTGGGAGCCAATGAGTTTGTTCAATAAAAATTACCATGGAACCGATACAGGGCACGTGTACCTATGCGTGTAGACTGACTTGGGTGAAGCGAAATGTGTGCCATACAATAGAACCGAAACGGAGCAGGGGAGTGAAGTCAAGCATCTCTATGGTCCATACCGTTTGAATTAAGATATTACTTATTAAAAAGGACATTACACTTTTGAAAGGACAAAATATAAATTAAAGGTAAGGTTTATTTTTATTTGTATACATTAACAGTGCTCGCGCTTTGGGAGTAGCGTTTGAATGAAACGTCAGCCAATACCAACTAGCTATGTAGACCCTTGACACAAAATACTATTTCAAATATTGCATTTTTCCGGTTTGTTTACAGTTTTTGTTGATAATTGATACCTTGCCATATATTTATTTATAGGTAGTCGCATATTGTGTATTTATTGCTCGTGTTATTTTATTATTATTGTATTTTTTCTGTCTGCATTGTTGAGAAGGGCTGGTAAACGCATTCAACTGTTAGTCAA